CCCCAACCTTGTGACTCAGGGTTAGATGGACACTTCACAGCCAGGGTCCCTTTCCCACTTTCTTCGGCAGAGAGAGGGGTAAGCCTCTACCATTTTCCAAGGCTTCCAAAGCCAAGGCCTGAATATAGCTCCTCAGTATAAAACACTGGCTGCCTTCCTCACTCAGAGACTGGAAACAAACGGTATGTCTGAGCCAAATCCATGCCTGTTGTATATCCAAGAAGCTTAATTGATTTACACAGAAATATGCCAGTTCACACTAGGCAAGGCTCTTGGCTCAGGGTTGATGAAAGAGGTGGGATTTGGCACCAGATCTCTTGCCCTTAGCAGGTCCTTCATTGACACTCAAGGAGCAGACCTTCCCGTTTTCCATAGTGGCTCACCAAGCCACAGAACACTGGCCTACATGGTGGCACTTGATCTCTGTCATCATTGTCTTTTTTGGGTGTAAAGTGATGAAGCTGATGTGACTTTTGCTGTGGTACTACCTGGAATGAAAGAAAGCAAGGGAGGCATCACACCGCACTCAGTTATTTAATTGACATTGCCCAAAATTCCGTAAAGCTTCAATGTAACTCTTCAGCCAGCAGCTATGTTTTATTGGTCCTGATTCCCATTTACATAAAGGCCCCTTTATCCCATCCTAGCAGTGTGAAAGGGCCTTACAGTAGAAAGTAAATGCATGTACATTCATTTAAAGTCCCCTTTACGTTGCTTTAGCAGCATAAAGGGGCCACAAATGTCAATGAGGATCAGGCACATTATTTATACAGCAGCAACGGTGCAGTGAATGCTTTTATGGATGAGAGGAGAGGGTCCCTGTCTCAGAGAGCTTGCAATCTAAAAAGAGCACATGTAGATGAAGCGCAGAGATGGGATCCAAAAGCACAAGTTGACAATACCATACAACTGGTCAGTGACAATCATTTTTACGCTGTTTTTTAAAAATGATTTTCTAATGGCTACTTTGCTGATGCTTTATAAAGGGGAGGACTAAGGTTTTACAGGCCTTGTGGAAGAGGAGATGTGGAAGAGACATGTGAAGGAAGAGTGCAAATAGATTTGGGAGTAGGGAGCTCAGTTTGCTGTGATTCTCAGGATAGCTCCTAACTTGAACTATGCTGTCTCTAGAAAAACAAAACCAAACCAAACCCCAGAGATGCAGAAGGAAAGAAAGCTCCTTTAGTGTGGACACGCTAAATCAAACACTGAGGGCACCCCATCAATGCTAATGCTTCTTGCTGTTATAAGGAGTAAGGGAAGTCAACAGGAGTGTTTCTCCTATCGACCTCCCACTGCAAGGACAGCTCCCTAGCTCGGCTTAAAGTATGTCAATTCCAGCTACAATATTTAGGTAGCTGGAACTGTGTACCTTAAGCCAACCTTTCCCCATAAAGTAGACCTCCCTGAGGAAATAAACATGCTGAGATAAAGAGGTCAGGGTCTTAAATTCATCCCCACTAACTGAAATACATATCAGCATTTGCTCTGGCATTGGAAGATAGATTGCTTTTCCAGCAAAGTCAAAGCAGCCAAGAAAAGAGTTATACCATTCACAGGCATATAATGGTGGGACGGGGAAAATCTTCAAAACCCCAAGTACAGGTGATGTCCTCAAGATTTATTCACCTGAGCATCAAAGTTGAGTGGCTAAGCCTGAGAAGACTTGCCAAAGCAAGAATAGACAATAAAAACCAAGAAGCAACTAAGTCACGTTACCTTTTCTTCCGTTATTACGTTGCAGCTGTGGGCTTTCAGAAGCAGTTCCCTCTTCTCCTCCAGTCTTGGGCATGAAGAGAAAGAATTACTTCTGGGAGGCTGCCGTTTCTTATCAACTGGCTCCACTGGGTCAAGTTCTACGTCACTCCAAGCCTAATCACCAGATAAGAATTATTTCAAACCATTCCATTATTTCCAGCTTTTTAATTTTTTTAATGCTTTTGTGTGAAGACCAAATGAGGGTACCCTAAAATGGGTCATATAGTGCATCCTGATGAATCTCCCATTGGACAAGCTTTATTCCATATCGGACAGGTTAAATCACAGAAGTCATTTTAGGATTGTCATCTGATGTGCTGATCAAGGCACTGAGCCCATGTTCCTGCCCTCTGGGGCTCCCCACCATCCTGCCCTGTTGGGCCTAAAGCTTTGGTCTTCCCCAGCCAAGGCATAGAGTTGGGGTAACCAGCCTCCAGCAGCGCAACAGAGACACTGAACCAACTCAGCTCTGGGAGGACTCAGCTATAATGTCTTTGACAACACGTAGGAACACTGCCCCCAAAGAGAACCAAAATGCCAAATAAAGTTGTCTTATTATACATACAAGTTTTACACAGAGAAAGCTTATATCTTTGTCCTCTTTATCAATGAAAGTGAGATATGTACAGTGTTTGCTCACCCCAGGTAACAATTATAGACCCTGGGCTTGATAATAAGTGTTTTTATTAAATATAGAAAGCAGATTATACTGATTGCAAGTGAAAGAGACAGATTATAGTAAATTACCAACTAAACAAAACACACTAGCTAAGCTTAATACATTAAGAAAAGGTGTTACAAGCTATATTCTTTACCCTTGTTCCTATCTCAGGCCAAGGTTTATCTTTTTCTGATCCGGGCCCAGCAACTTTGCCTT